TTTTTTACTTCTTTTTCTTTACTTCTTCAGTGGCTGACTTCTTTCATTTCATCACCCCTCCCCCACTCTCATTGCCTTTCCACCTCCTATGTCACTACCCACTTCCATCCCATTAACTCTTTGCCTCTCAGCTTCATGTTTCCACCCCCTAATGCATCCTTCACCCCCAACCCCACCTAGATAAGCAATAGAAGCCTGTAGCGGCAACTCACAGCTGTAGCTCCTAGTCAGGCCCCTGCTCACAAGCCCTTCAGTGACAAGTCACAGCTGTGCAGGTGGGGAACAGTCAGAGAAGGTTTTAGTTCTAAGGTGTGATTTCTCCAAACTCCACCTAGCACTAACACCAATCAACAGTCTAAGTTCAACATGTAACAAGGCCCTTAGGATCATAAGAAAGTAGGGCTGGAAGGGACTTCATAAAGTCATCTAGTCTACCCCCTGCTCAAGACAGGATCATCCATAACTAAACAATCCCAGTCAAGTGTCTGTCTAACCTGCTCTTAAAAATTTCCAAGGATGGAGATTCCAAAACTGCTCTAGGTAGCCTGTTCCAATGCTTGACCATTTGCATAGTCAGAGGATTCTTCCTAATGTCTAATCTAAATTTCCTCTGCTGCAGTTTGAGATCATTGCTCCTAGTCCTGTCTCCTAGAGCCACAGAGAAAAACCCATGTCCGTCCTCTCTGTAATCACCCTTCAGGTATTTGAAGACTATTATCAAATCTCCCCTTCATCGTCTCCTCCCTGCACCAGTTAATCATAGCTCTTTCAGTCTCTCCTCACTCTTCTAAGCAAGAGGATAGAAGAAAAAGAGAATATGGGACACACAGTAGGCTGGGAAGACTCAGTGTAGCACAGTAGGGATGCTGACCAAATACAAGACTCACTGACATGTAGTACATTTGAGAGGGTTGTCTAGGCCCTCCTTACTTCAACAGAGCAATGGTTAGAAGAGCTTTTCTCCACAAGGAGGCTGCAGTTACCCACCATCACTGGGGGAGGGGCCTGCCCATCAGCAGAAGTAGAGCCAGGATATGGCAAAGGAGGGTGCACTGCAAGGATGGCTGCATTCCCACTCCCAACCTCCTCCCTCAGAACCCGCGGATGCGAACAGACCACACCACGGGAGCCTTTAGGGACTTCTTTTAAGTCCCCAAAGCAGATAAGAATCCTCTACTTCCCCTCTGTGCTCAAAGGCAGGTTTTCTCCTCTCCTCCTACCGCACCAAATGTCTTTGCTGCTTTGCCTGTCCTGTCCTGGGGGCAGGAATAGCTTCAAAGTTGCTGCTGGCCACTCCAGCCAGGCTGCATGGGGATTGAGCTCAGTGACAGTGGCAGCGGTGTTAATGCAAGATTCCCACACCATTTCCAGCACCCTGTGACCAAGCACAAGGAGTGGGAACTTGGCACAACCACCCATTGCCTTTCTAACTATTGCTATTCCCAGCTAAGACAATTGCTTACACAGCCCAAATAGAGTGGACAGCAATGGCTATGAATGGCCCACCTCAGAGACAGTGCCAAAACTGACAGCTGCAGACAGTGGAGTAGAGGAAGGGACATGCCTCTGAGTATAGAGAGGAAGGGGGCATCCTCTTTCATGTTGGAGACTTCTTAAAACTGCCTAGAGGCTCCAGGAGCATGGTCCAGTCCAGAAGGAGGAGGCAGCCACACAACTGCACCCTCTCTGGATCCATTCCTCATCCTTCAAGGCCCATTATAAGACCTTTTTTCACCTCAATTGCTGAAGAACATTTCCTTCCAAATGGAGGTGATTATATATTGGAGAAATGGGGGTTTATTAAGAAAAATAAGAGGTGAGTTTTCCTGAGGATTTTCTACCAGCCTTAATTTAGTTGAATGTTTATTTTAGATAATGTTTAAGGCACCTAGAACAAAGATGAAGAAGTCTTTACATATCTTATTATATATGATAGCAAATAATCAACAAACAAACTTCTGTATGTTCATTTTGCAGATAGCTGAAGCAGCTGCAAGTCAAGTAGAGGATAGGTGAATCCATTTTCAGCTACTTGGTATCTCCCTGCATACAGTGGGAGGAGGCAAAATAGAAAAAGTTCAGGACTAGGAAGGGTAGGAATAACCACTCCATGCATTGTGCAGGTCTACTTATTGCAACCAGGGACAAGGAATGGTTTTGTTGGCAACCTCTGGACTGGATCAGGAGATCATAGAATCATAGAAAATGAGGGTTGGAAGAGACCTCAGGAGGTCATCTAGTCCAACCCCCCTGCTCATAGCAGGACCATCACCAATGATATGGTTATGGTCCAAAGCCAAGACTTTGTCTAGCCAGGCTTGAAAAACCTCCAAGGATGGAGCTTCAAGGTTACTCTCTGGCTAACCTGTTCCAGTGGTCCTCATGAGAAAGTTTTTCCTAATATCTAACCTTAACTTCCCTTGCTGCAACTTGAGACCATTGTTCCTTGTTCTGTCATCTGTCATCACTGAGAAGTCCAGCTCCATCCTCTTTGTAACCACTCTTCAAGTAGTTGATGGCTGTAATTAAATCCCCCCTCAGTCTTCTCCTCTCCAGACTAAACAAGCCCAGTTCCCTCACTCTCTCCTCATAAGTTACGTTCCCCAGCCCTCAGATCAGTGCTCTGTTCCCAGTTCAGCCACAGTCCTCTTGCTTACGAAAAGTAAGCCAGTCATGGGAAATCCTTAGCTGGTATGAACTGTCATAGCTCTACTGTTTTCATTGACAGATTTAAACCAGCTAAGGATCTGTCCTTTAATATGTGTTTCAGGTTCCATAGCTGTAAATGGGGTGTTACTAGGACAAATGCATCAATATATATGGATTGTGTGGGCCTGACAGTGATGTGACCATATTTTCATCCAGTTACATTGTTTAGAGCTCTATAAATACACAAAAGAAGGGCTGCTGAAATGAACTGCTTATGCTTCCAGGTTGCAGGAACTGATTCTACAATCTCTCATTTTGATCTAAATATAAAGCCGTTCTTCTCTGGTTTTCTGCAGAAGATCAGCATTTGGCCATTAGCATCTGTTCATTTTCTCTCTGAAATCAACAGTAAAGCTCAGGTTCAAGTCAGCAAAAAAAGCACATGGTATAAGTTAGGAATTACCTGCAAATCACTTTGTTTCCAAGCTGGCAGAATCCATATTAGCTTTAGTGGGACTGCCTGCATTTGGAAGAGGTAAGGAGTGCTGAACAGGCCTCAGTGGAGTAAGAAATCTCCTAAATTATTGCAGCCATTTACACAAGAAATATTGTAATGTTTTTACTGTGCTCATAACATTTGTATTTGTATACAGTATAGATCATTCAGCTCAAAATACTTGCTTTTCAATAAAATTATCATATAATTGCATAAGGCAATATCATGGCATGACAGGGTGAATTATTTTATAATTCTAGCTTTCACACTCAATAGTTATGTATTATTTTATAAATCAGGCTGCACTTTTTATTAATGATGGGATTCATTTATTTGTTACCAGAGGATTGTTGGGGTAGGGAATGATTTAATGTACTTGAAATATACAGGAAACAACAATTTCCTATGGGCTTAATCACATATGATTTTGTGAGGAATTAAGAAAAGGGGCATAAATTTGCTAGAAGATGAATGCTCTATTATTTCTATAAATGATTTGCTACCATGAATCATAAAGCTGTAGTCGTCACACAACTAAAAACAAGATGATTAGAAAATGCTAAATGTTTATGGCCAAGTCTACTCAGCCCAGTGTCTAAAGAGAGAAAGATTATTCATCTGTTTAGAAGAGTGAAAAAATAATTTCACACTTTCATAGAACATATTATTTAGTAATGTGACAGTCTGTTGCCAAATGTTATAAATTCTCACCACATGCAGTTTTAGGAATGATTTATTTAAATAGTTCAGTAACTATAAAAGGTAACTTAAAGATTTCACATTTCATCACTATGTTGAACTATTTTATGAGGTGACTGTGCAATTCTGCATCAATCAAAGATCTTTTTCCCACAATGAAAACTTAATGCTTCAGAAAGCTGGTTTGCTCTTATTAGCTACCTGATTATGACTGAAAAGCAGCCATATCACAGAACTTTCAGTGAATTTTTGTTATTCACAAACCTAGGAAGAAAGACAGCCTTTAGCTCAGGCAGAATTTTACTGAATGAATGGCTTTTGTTTACAATACAATATTCAGACACAAATTAGATTAGTTAACAATATAAATTTCATTTTTTGGAATGGACTTGAAATGGTAAATTTGATATGAATATGTGTGCAACACAGTCTTTCTTGTGCCACTGAGAACCTCCTACTGAAATTAATGGGAAGTCCTGCTTAGTAATAGATTACATGTTATGGCCATAAATATATAAATGGAGACTAGATTGAGTCTTAGCAAACAAATACAATTTTTTTTTTAGAAGTAGCTTATTGTCAGCATCAATGCAATGTCTGAACATTGTCTAAAAGCTAGATCTACAGAGATGTAAGTCTTAAACCTGTGGCTATACTGCTTTATAATGCTGAAATAATACTGTATTTATACAATATAATGACTTGTAGAACACAAATACTAACACAGAACAAACCTCTATTTATATCATAAACTTGAAATGCCCTTTTGTAAAACTATGAGCTATATTAAGATGTACCTGTATACATCTTATACCAGGGAGCAGCTTTGAGAGGCGACTGTGACTGAGAGATGCATGTGTGATTTTTTTTCAGTTTTTCTAATATAGCTCAGCACATATTCACTGTAAAATATAATGCAATGCATAAAATATATTCCTATGCTAGATTTCACTTCTGTTTTATAATTTCATATGAAAATAAAAGCAATAGAAGGAAAAACAAGATTTACAGTTCACAAGTTATTCTGACTTTTTCAAGCATTTTCATTTTACAGTTTTTATACACGACACTATTACAGTCTAATATACTTATACAGCCTCTTAACAGATTAGATCCTGTTGATACAAACAGCACAAACTATGAGTGACCACTTTACCTTCTGAAAAATCAATCAGTCCCAGCAAATGAAGCAGCTTCAGAGATGCAAATATAATCACAACAATACCCACTGTTTGCAGTCCCTCTGACTCCCACTCTAAAGTCAACATTCTTCAAACAAGCAAATCATTCCAGTCTTCAAACCACTTTGCAATCAGAGGGAAAGTAGAGGATTTTACCAATATTGTGTTTTGAAGAAAGTTGTAATGGTGAAAAGCAACGTTGTGTTGCGCTGTAGAAATTAACTGACCACCCTAGTCGATACACAATATTAGCTAAAGCCCTGCATCTCATGCTTCTCTAAGCATTTGCTTTCATTAGCAGTGAGTCCTCTTAGAACGCTGAGGTGGACCACTAACCCCTTGATATGACATTGTATCCGGCAAGTAGTGTTACTTCAGAGCTGATGGAAGAACATCTGTTTCAGAACTCGAGACTTTGCTGTGTCAGTTCAAAGAAACACTCCCTGGAAACTTGCACTAGGGAGCACACTGCTACCAGCACTGTGCATTCTAATGCTCCCAGGCTCAAGCTTTCTGATTCTACTCAAGCCTATTTTGACAATATTTTTTTGTTAAGATTGACAAGTACTCATTTACCAAAGATGCCCTTTTTCAATGGTAGAAAGTACAGCCCTTTGCATTTTAGTACATACAGTTTGTCCTTCTGATATGCAACAAGAACTTAGTTAGGATCTCTAATGAAAATTAGAATGTAATTAAGCAACAAAACATATCAGCATGATCTTGTGTATCCCTGCTTAACAAAACTGAATGTTATGAATAGGATACCCCCCCCCCAACAAATTGTAGATTTTGCTTTAGAAATCAGAAGAGCTGATTCTATAAAACTAAGGACTTGATTCTTCAAGTGTTAAACCTCTAACTCTCATGAATTTTAAAGGGAATTAATGATGCTCAGAATTCAGCAAGTCACAGGATGAAGTGCAAACTCTGAACGTTATTATCACGGCGTTTTTATCTATAGGATTTTTATCTATAGTATCTGCTGTATTTATTAATATGAATACTGAGAAATGCAGTGTACAGTACTTGCTCTAAAACATGTGTATGCAGTACCAGCATGTTAAGGCCTGTGAAAGAAATGCTTGCATTTTAGCCCACTAAATTAACTGATTGTAATTCAGTTGGGACACAAAGCACCCAGGAAGATTAAGGGAAGTCCCAGAAAGATTAATTGTACATCATTCTTAATCATATCCCATTAATAAATATATCAATAATAACAATCAGAAGTAGGGTCTGTAGCAGCTTTTGTGAGGGAGACTGCCTAACACTTCTCACTAGGAAGAAATCCTGCTACCTCTGTTGAGAAGTTCTGACATTTTTTCAGGAGGCCATGGACCTTTTAAGAAATGCCCTCCACCTTCTTTTAGATATTATTAGCAACCCACTATATGCTTTTATCTCATTCTATAATTATATAGTATTTGCTCTTTTTTCTCAATTTCTCTTCTTTTTTGAAAGTAGCATCTTGTTCTCTCCTTTTCTCTTCACCTTTCTGTTCTCACTGTTCAGTTTCTTCTAACTTATGCTATCTCCCTTTATTTGCTCTCTGTACTTGTGCTCAGTTACCCCATGGTCAGATGGGTAGAGATTGTGGAGGTTTTGCCTTCTTCTGTAGCAGGGGACATGGCCCTCTTCCTTGGATTTCTCAAGCATATCTTAATAATCCTTACAGCAGCAGGACTTTAGCTACCATTGTCCCCCTGTCTTACCTGTCGCAGGGTAGGGAGTTATGCCTTTTGGCTGTCAGGGTAGACTGTGTAGCTTTACTAATAGGTTAGACAATGGATTTCTATAGGATGGTTTGGATAGGGATAATTCTGCCTCTGGGAGGTGGTTGGACTAGATGACCTCTGAAGATCCTTTCCAGCCCTATTCCTCTTTAATTCTGTGATTCTCATCTCTGTCTCCCGTGTTCTCACCTCTGTCCCACTATACCAAGGTGGGCAAAATATGGCTTGTGGACCCGCCAACTGATTGTATCCAGTCCACGGGTGGATGGCCACGAACTCTTGGGATGCAGCCCATGGGTGCCTGGAGGCTACAGCTCGGGCTACTATGTAGTGCTAAGTGGGTGGGATGGCTTCTGCAGTGCAAGGCATGCAGGTGGGATGGCTTCCACCCAGAACTGATGCAACAGTGGCAGCTATGGACCTGGGCAAATGCCCCAATCCCCACTTGGAACTTCCCTAGTGCATCTACAACTGATGCTGGTGCTCATCCAGGGTTGCTACTGTCACATCAGGCTGGTGGTGGTATAAATTGGCAGGTTCCAGGTGGGGATTGTGATTGGGGCATGCTACAGAGCTCCGGTGGTGTGAGCGGGGCAGGGTGAGGGAGACAGAGAGCTAGAGAATGGGGCATGATACAGAGAGCTAGGGAAGGGGCACAGAAAGGAGAGAGAGAGAGGATCGGGGCATGCTACAGCTCTGAGGAGGGAGAGAGGGAGGGGAGGAGAGAGAGAGATGTGGCTCTTGAGAGGACACCAAAACTCATGTGGCCCTCAAGAGAACTCAAGAACTGATTAACAGTTCCAGTCAAAATAAATGCCCACCCCTGCACTATATCCTTGAGCTCATTTCCATCTCTTTTTTCCTCCTTCTTTCAAATAGCTGTTATCATTATCAAGTTTTCATTATTTTCAAAATAACTCATCATCTATTGAGTGTCCCAATGGGACCTGATGTGTAATGAAAATCATGAAAATCTGATTCATTGTGCATTATACACATTTAGCAAATGAATCCTAACCTAATTCAAGCAACCCCAACATAAAAATGAGACAAGCATTGTTATTTCCCTATGTAGTGTTAGACACGATTAAAAGAAAGAAAACACTTTAAATTCTGGCTTAGTCTCCTAACCCAGGCTATATAGCTTACTTTACTGAGTTTTCCCTCTATGAGACCAGAGGTGCTATCACCAGCTATTCTAGCGATACGCCAGGTCAGTTTTAGAAACACTGGAAGCAAACCAGGGATGCAAGCAGCTCCCATAGAACATTTTTCTCTGGTCTGTACATGCAGAAACTGATCTGGAGTCCCTCCAAATGTGGAGGATGCAAAACTAAAAATTATATGGGTCCCATTGACCAATCCTGGCAGTTCTTTATGTGAGTGAAAGGAGAAGCTTTAAAGAGCAGTAAACTCTGGAACATTATCACCAAGATCTTCAAGAAACTGTCATCTTTTAGGCTCATCAGTGACATTTGGAATCAGCAACAAACAGAAATGGGCACTTCTCTGTCATTGTTTTTGTCTACATATGGCCATTGTCTTTTGCCTAAACCTCTGTTTTCTCCTAAGGCTGACTGTTCTGATATTATAATTCCTTCTGGCAATAAGGTAGGAATATGGCTGCCTTAAAGGTAACTTCATTGTTGTTCAACCATGGAATGATATGCAAACGCATGCCATGCATTCAAGAAAAACTATTACACCTATCCAGAGTGTTTCTAGTTGGCCCTGAGGTCTTCCTCATGATCCTCTGCAAACAGTATCTTCTTTATGGTTATGTGGAATACAGCTGCAGTAATTCTATGAGTTTATCTCCAAGAGAAGGCATATTCTTAGTCTATTTCATTAAGCAGAAGAAGTGTGAAGGTTGGTAATGATGCTTCTGGCTGGATTTGTTTAAAATACGCACATACAACTATTAAGTAATACATGTGCAGTTATATAATACCAACCTGATCTGGATTTCTAAACTGGTATGGAAAAAAACTCCAATTAATTTTGTTCCTGAGTACTCTTAAAATAGCTCATATACTCTAAAAACAGTACAGGGTTAGCCTGTTCTGTTCCTTCACAGGTGTCCAAGGTGAGAGGGTAGAAAAGCTGCAGGAAGAAGCTGAGCACCAGGATTGTGTAAAACTAGTGCCCCTAACAGAACCTGGTGCACCAAAAGGGCAGAAAATAGGTGACTGAGGATATAGCACTGCCCCTTCCCTCTTCCCTCCATCTTACAAATGGAAGCTTTTCCATTTGAATAGGTAGTACAGAGGCATTTATGAGTTATGCAGCAGTAAGAAACACTGTCTCTTCTGGGTGTGGGCAGAAATACATTTAGTGCCCTTTCAAAAGGGGAATGTTTCAAGAGGGCAGAAGCTGGTTTGGTATGTTTTAATTGTTATATGGGAGCAAGCTGAGAATAATTCAAATGTAGCAAAACCACTACAGCTTTTTACACTGGAGAACATTTGAAACATTTTCATTTCATTCACATATCATCATCTAATAATAATAATTAGAACATACCAGCTGCTGCCCTTTTGAAACATTCCCCTTTTGAAAGGGTGCTAAGTGTATGTGTGTCCAAACCTCCTGAGGCACAATGTCCACTATGTCCTCCTTAATATGGACAAGTGTCTACTAACATATTCCTGTCTACAAACACCTGTATTTTTTCACTGAAGAAAAAATGTTTGGTTTTAATATACTGCTCATTCTTACAAGTATTAGCAAGAAAATGATTTACAGCATTTATGCATATAGAACATACTGAACAAAAGCATATGTACTATGTAAGCTCTGTTTGTTGTAAACATATCACCTAATTAAGGGAGCCCTTTTTCCCTGATTGGGTCTTCCAGGCATCACTGCAATACAAACAAATAAAAAAATATGTAAATATTAGAATTTTCTTTGTTCAAGAGTATTGTTTATACGGATTTAAAGTAGAAACCCAATAGTTTTAATAACTACAAATAAGTGAAGTGGAGCAAGAGCACAAGAACTGCCATATAGGATTAGATCAGTATTCTATCCAATCTCACATGAGATTCGTAACAGGCACAAGTATCCAACACTTCAAAGGAAGGTGTAAGAAACACTGAAGGGGGCAATTAGGGAATAACCTTTCTGATTCCAATTAGGGCACAATTATCCTTTGAGAATTCATGCCACCACCCACTTTCTTTTACAGTTTTCTGTAACTGTACATTCTCATTATCTACATAAATGGATAATCATGTTTGAATCCTACTGAAACCATTGGCTTCAATTGCAGCTTTTGGTGAGTTATGCAGAATAACCATGCATTGTGTAATTTTTTTCCCTTACCAGTTTGTAACATTATTATTAATATAGTATTATGTATTTATTAGAATTGTCAGAGGTTCTAGTTATGGGCCAGGATCCTACTGTGCCAAGTACTGTGCAGAGAACAAAGACTGCCTCAGTCATAAGGAGTTTGCATTCCAAGTTAGAAAAATTGATGCTTCCTAATTTCTTTCTTTTTCCTTTCTTTTTTCTCTTTCTTCTTATATTTGGAGAAAAGAGAAATAATAATGCCTAGCTGATCTTCTCTGTATCTTTAAATATTTTATAGAACTTTATCACTTTCTTCCTTTTTTCATTTCCTTTCTAAACTAAAACTGGACTAAATCTTTGCAGGCTTTCCCATCTCTCCTGAAATAGAAGCCTTTCCATGCCTAT